CGAATACAGCTTGTATTTCAAAGCATTTCAATTCCTTTTCCAATGTTTCACCCATTGGATGAAGGCTACATATATTACACTCCTTCCGTCCCATAAAATACTTTACACTTTCTTTTTTGGACGTCCCAAAAAATACACTTTATTTCCTTTTTAGGTGATGAATTTGTGGCTCAAAATAATTATCTCATCTAAACAAATTATAACCATACACTTTATACATTTCAACAACTTTCTTAAACTCCGTGAAAGTCAAACTGTGACGGAGGGAGTATATATTTAAATATTTATGTAAAAATGTTCAAATGTCAATTAGTTTCAAAAATATCTGTTGCCATAGGAAGTCTAAAATATATTGGGTTGACCTGTGCGTTCTGAGTTATGAACATACATTCTTTGGTCCGAACCAGAAATTTAGGCAACCCAAAACTACCCAAACCCCAAAGTACAAAATATGAACCCAACAAGACCAGCATACAGCTCTAGCGGTGTACATGACAATAGTTGAGGCAATCAATCACTAAATAATTCTTTGACTTGACATATACTCCTTCCGTTTTGCAAAGAAGTTTACACTTTGACTTCACAAAGCTAAAAAAACATATTGAATAGTGAAAAGTCGGTGGTCAAAATTTGTTAAGAGGAGAGAGAAATATCCCGAGCCATATATTCCTTTTTTAAAAGGGAAAGGAGAGAAGTCTAAACTTTATTTTGCGACAAGCGAAAAAGGAAAGTGTAAACTTTATTGCGGGATAGAGTGTATAATTACATACATAAATTGTGAATGCACAATTAACTATGACATAACCTACCACATGCCAAGGTAGATAGATCCTAGCAAGTGCAACATAATGGCTGTGTAGCAAGTGCAACATAATGGCTGTGTAGTGTCTACTGTCAATCACTACTGGCCTGGCTGCAACAATACTCATGTTCATGTTTTCCATTTTCATTAGTTGAGGAGACACACAAGGCTTTCAAAAGTTAAAATAATAGTCATACCGGAAGCTGGGCAAGACGAAGCACATCCTATTGAAGCCTCTGTTTGTTGATCTTCCATCCTAAACACAATTTCAAGAGGATAGGATAAAAATAACCATTTGCCTTAAAAGTAAAGGTAGTAAAGAATCCACATACATGACTCTGCCCGAGGATGGAGTTTCTTCTTTGATGGTAACACTCCCAACATCAGTATAGCCTGGAAAGATTCAGAGCAAAGTGACTCTTAATTCTTCAGAACTAAGGATGACACGTAGTTCTCAACACAAGATCATCAACGCATAAAATATTAGAAATAATGGCTGAGAGTAGTTGGTCATTTACTTGTTTGTTGGGTTTAAAAGATTTTCTTCGGGAGGGGGGTGGGGAGAAAAAGGAAGGTGGCTTCTAGAAATTAGAAGTGAAACTAGAAAAGGGAAGTTGTCACCATCAAGAACTGTTCTGTGATATGAAAGAAAAGCCAAGGATACTCTTGAATTAGAGCAACTTAACCATTCATACTCGTCGCTCAAACATTAATTTGAAAAACAAAAACTAAAATACTGAACTAGACTCAAATGTAGCTAGAATAAAAGCAAGCATACCTTTTTTTACTTCATCCTGCTCTTTCGCCATGGCTAGGAGTTCTTCTCTATTCTTTCCCCTAACGTGAGACATATCCTGGAGAAATAACACAATATGCAGGCTGAAACTTTACTTAGGATTGAAGCATTTAGATACTCTACTAGTTGAAATACCAAAAGTGCAACATACCGGAAGAGGGAAACACCGAGAGTTCATATATATTGCATTATAATGGTCAACACACTGCTCTTTACTTTTTGTTCCAACATGTTCTGCAACATCATTCCAACTTCCCAATCCATGCATTTCTATACCCTACATAGGCAAGGGTGATTGAAGAATAGACAGGTTAAGGTCCAGGTAAAATGGAAAACACATTCTTCATCCACCAGAGAAGCATTAACAGAGTTCTAGTAGTTTCCAACTTCCAAGCATCTTCTAGGAAATAAAGTTGAGAATTCTCTTAATTTCATTTTAGAGACTACCTCTAGAAGTAGTATCTCCTCATCAGCACTCCAATCGGGAGATATGAGTGGAAATGACAAGTTATCCTGTCAAAAGGAGCAACCGCTTCATAAAAATAGGACTTTTAGAAAAGAGTGAAATGAAAAAAAGCGAGGATAATGTGCCAATAAGAAAAGATATGGGAATAAAATGATCATTTAGATGGGAAAAGAATGTAAAAAGGATGTATAAATGAGTTCATCAACATTACTAACCATGACCCTGTAAGGATGGTTGCTTTTGTGAGGATGTATTTCTGCTCCAACGGAAAAGCATTCGATGCAAAGGTCAAAATCAGAGCATACCGCACATTTAATACGAATCTTCCCTGATATGTCTTTGTTGCAATAATTACAGTGGTATAAAGCCTTTTTCCCATCATTCAACCCTTGACCTTTTACATGGAATGAAAATAATGAATGAGCCGCTTTTGGGGTGGGAGGGTGGGGGTTACTTTTAACTGAAAATTGCCCACTAAGATAATAAACATAGCACTATAAGGCACATAAATATTTCTATAAAACTGCAATGTGGACAATAGTACTCCTTTCCTGTTGAGCTTCTGATATGGTCAAAGTTAAAGGCACGAATACGTCACATCAAAGGATAGTTTGTACTCAACTAGAAACCCAAGCATTGCATCTTATTACAACTGTAACCCCAAATGAAGTTTGGCTGGTAATTAGTAGTTATATGATAGGGAGATCTTACCCGCTGTTCCAGTTTCCGAATTCTCCGCACTTTGGGCAGCACGCTTCCTCTTTGAGCGACTGAAGATTACAAGGGGAGGAGAAGATTACATATTTCATGTTAGAGTGAACTCATTACAACTTCACCCAGCACACTTTATTGCCTTCTTTTTCCCATTTGTGTTTGTGATCAGCCCAGTACAACAGCTATGAATGCTAACTGCTAAGGATTTGTGCCCTCATGGAAACTAAACTATTAATCCACATTCTCATTTAAAGAGAGATTTCAAAACAAAGGTTCATTATTACTGATGCAGATGAAATTTTAAGCAAATCGAGTCGAAAATCATTCCAAGAGAGTTTATTGCAAGAAAGGTGAAAGATCACATCTTTAAACACTAATAGGGAATCTTTTTCCTAGTTGTTGATTCCTAATACGGAATTCTGCATCACTTTCAACTGTTTTACTTCAATATTTTTGTGTTGACCTGCATTTTTCCTCTAAAAAATAAAATCTATATTCTGTCCCTCTAAAATATCTTGACTCATCCACTGAACTTTCATGCTAGGAATCATCTAAAGATCAATGAAAACTATGGATTACTACTCAATAAACGGAACAATCATGAAAAGGATTGTATTTGTAAATTCGTAAAACGGACCTCTGGCTGGAATCATCGTCGGCGGGGTGAGGTACAGCTCGCGAACGACCCATCGGAGCTCAATTGTAACTCCGCTTGAGAAATCCGGAGATTGGAAGTTTTTGCTGGCCGGAGAAGGTGAGAAGCCCTGGGAGTCCGGGCTAGTTTTCAGGTCCGATGATCCGGTACCCGATGATCATTCGGGCGGGTTTGTCCGAAAGAAAGATTTTTTTTCTTACTACCCCTTACTTTCGAGTAATTTGGTATTCCTCTCATAATCTTAGATTATTTACATTTATTACCCATTTGCTTCATGAATCATGACTATGTTACCATTAGGGATTTTTAATTTCTACCTTCCCCACCCGACCTGCTATAACGGATAAAAGTTCAAATAGTTATGAATAATGCATGGATGTTGAATGAATCACATAAGAGAATGGATACGCAAGTAAAAAATTTTCTTACCAATTGCCGGACCTATTACACAATTCATCTATATACTTGTAAAGAAAATTTGATACTATGTTTAAAAATCTAGGCATGTGTCATGTCAAAAAATAAACGTTTGAGATCAAAAATTCGAAAAAAATTAAAGATTATGTGTTTGGGTTGCATTTGAGAATTATGAGAATTAATGTATTTGAACTTCTAATATTTTAATTGTGTTTATGATTTTATGAGAATTTAATACTTCGTTGTTATATAAAATAGATGTTTTACTATCATTATACTTTTTTCTTTATAATAGTCTAATGAAATGTAATTATTAGTTCAAAAAATATTACTAGTTACGTTTTGTTCATTACTTGTTTCCTCTGCTTTAGCCGCAATGATGAATGTTATATGTAATGAATGTTGGATGGATGAGATAATGGATAGAAATAAATGGATATGATGAATAATGGTGAACCCTTACCCGCTTCAAACTCAACTTATTGACATCCTTAGTTTCACTTTTTGTCTTAATTTTCATGCTCTAGACTACATATGCTATTCTAAAAAGTAAAAAAAATTACTCTGTAAAAGATTATTTCTAAACAAGTAAAAAAGTAAGGTGAAAAAACTTTTATGGAGCGGAAGAAGTATTTGGGAGTACGTATGGTATTAATATTATGCAGGCTTCATTTAAAAATATATTACTATCACTGTTTTGGATAATTTTATAATAGTATAAATTAATATTGAACACTCTAATGTAAAACTAATGTTGGATAACATTTCCAAAATACTAAAGTTAAATATCAAAACAAATATCCATACCAAAGAGAGTCTAGATATAGAAAACTCATTTACGATAATAGGTTGTGTTGAATATATGCTTTATTATGTGTCCATATAAATATATATGCTCATATATATATATATATATATATATATAT